CCGTAAAAACGTCAAGAAGACTCTTCATAGTACTTAGGTACAGTCCAAATTAGGTACACGCCTAAAGAGTATTAAGTTATATAAAAAAAAAACCCAAAAAACCCCAAAACATTTTTCTATATAACACTATCAAAATGCGTTTACATAACTTTTACATAACTTTTCAGGTAGAAAGTCTAGTTATCCTGGGCGAGATCTGTAGGCGCTATAACGTTACGCTTTATTTGAAGAGAGCCAAAGAACTAATGAAGGGGAACAACTCGCGAGTGTTGAAAATTATAAGGAAGCAGACCACAAAAAATTCTCCGATTAAACATACATTATGCAACAGCTCAATCTGCCTATTGCAAGTCTTTATTTAGCCGCCAGACGTTATAGAAATTATTAATTAGACCTTTATTTAAATGACAAGACCAAAATCATCTATGTAGACCTTCGGTGGCTTGTATACAGATTGCATTTAAACATTCGTCCATTTGAAATTAAGTAAATTAATGGCCGACCAAGCTAACGTTTATCGTTAGTCACTGACTAAGAGAGGGTACCATAGCCATTGAGAATTTTACTTGATAATCGAAAATATGTGGGTGGGGTTATCGTCTGTCAATCAAATGATCGGCAAATCTCGTAGGCGGTGTGGACACAGTTGATGCCTATTTCTAGTCCAAACCTTCAACAGTGACAACTCCGTTCCGAATAAAGTAATTTGACTGAAATTTTCAATATTTTCTTTTTTATCAACTATTCTTTATTAAAATCTTAAACCTACATTATGCAAGAGTTAAATCTGTCTATTGTAGGTCTTTCTTTGGGCCTGAAATGCTATCTAAATTATTAATTAGCCATTAATTAACCTATCCAGACTATAATCAACTCTAGATGGTTGTGCTATACTGCGATCTTTAGTGGATTATAAGCCGATTTACTGCCTAACTTTCCTTCACGATTTAACGATTAAATGGATAATCGAGACTATGCTGTTTATCGTATTGACTTTAGTAATGATGATCGAGGCTAGGCGGAAATGTCAACCGCTTAGTTCTCGGTTCATAGTAGATCAATGTGAATGAAATTTTCAGTAAATTGCCTTTACATTATCTAGTTTTTAACTATTATAGTGAGAACTGCCAACTCGTTATCTAATCTCCCATAATGTATCTTTAAGTAATAATGATACATCTGGGTTCTTTGTGAAGCTCTAACTTTCTCTCAAATTTTCGTTAAAGCAGAACGCTCTCCACCACTGGCAGCAGCATCCGGTTATGATTTCGTTTTACTGCAATAGTCAATTAACCCCTTGAACACTGTATTTGCCTGAAATCCTTGTTTATATGAAAGGTAATATACAGGAAACTACACACACAGCTATGACATTAAATATAAGCTTGAGTCTAACTTCCACGTCACTTACCGTGCGGGAGCCACGGTGGCTAGGTGGGTAAAGGCGCTGGCTCGCTAGCCTGGAGGTTGGGTGTTCGATCCCTGCATTGGCCGAGAAAGTTCATCCCGATTTTCCGACGTGGTTCCCTCTTGTCAGTGATGCAGGGCGGAGGGCCTGTCTGACAAGGACAGCTGTCTAGTCCTTCGGATGAGACGAAAAACCGAGGTCCCGTGTAAACATTGGAATGCACGTAAAAGATTTCTTGACAGTTGGAATTCGATATAAGAGTAGGCGATAGTGCCGCTGCCCGGGCAAAATTTCTCCCTCATAGCACACTGTATGGCGTATGCCCGTCTTCATTAGCCCAGTATAGGAGCAGAACAGTAGGACGTTAAACCCCATTTCATTTCATTTCACTTACCGTGCGTTCTGTCGCGAGCGTCGCGCTCTACATGATGTCTAAAGTAAAATGATTTATGCCCAGAAAAAAATCCCCAAAACAGACAATATTTGGGGGCGTATTTTAATATTTTCCGATACGAATTACCATAAAAACTCCATTCATCAATAATCGAAGCCTTGTCACGTTTGGTTTTTGATGATATGACCCTTTTTGACATTTTTATTTTTCTTTTAAATGGTTAAAATCTGATCGGATTCTATGATCAAGGCAGTTAACTTTTAGTGACAAAACGAGTTAACCGCATTGGTCACATTAAAATTTGAACTGTTGTTGCTGTTATGAAAACTTTTGTATGTCACCGAGAATCATCGTTTATTTGCTAGCTAAGGAATAATCTTTATGGGATAATTGAATTTAACCTATAATACTATACACGTTCAACTGAATATGAAAAGATCCAGAAACCTTATAAAAAATTTAAAAAATACATTTTATTGTTAGTCTCATAGATAAATAAATATATTGTACAACATAATGTATATATTCTTGAATTATTAATAATACAATAACGATCGGACTTTGGAGTAATTTGATGGTGATTTGAAATTTAAGTTGGTGTAGTTGGAGTGGTTAATACAACATGTTAAGATCCATTAACAAAAAATCCAAACTAAGGATTACATTCTCTCGATGGCTTGTTCATAGACGTAAGTTTTTATGCTGGCGGGTGGCGGGGTGTTAAGGGGCAGAAATGGATTACCCGACGGGATTTTTTTTAAAAATTAGACGGCCTCAAACACGTTTATTCCTCTTATTGCAAGTGTCCCTATACAGCCATATTTATATGTGAATGGTTTTGCAACTGAAATCCCACTCGATGCAGACCTGAACCACGATTAACCATCCAGACTGTTGCAGTTGTATTTACCGGGACCCAGAAATTTAACTTCCAGAAAAATTAATAATTACATTCGAAATCGTCAATATGATCATATCAGCGATTGCATGTGTACAAGCATTTTCTATTCGCCAAGAAATGGTCAACGAACATTTCTACAGATTAAGCAGTAGTAATCATACAAACAATCTTTTTTCTAACGTTACTTTCACATTTAGAAAAGAGCGTTCCTTGTCCGCTATGATTTATAGAGGCTTTCTATAGCTGCGAAATCGGCGCCGTTCTTCCTTGGGTGACGATAATTTTAAAGCTCATTTCGCATTCTCTCCTTGTCCCATTCCAACCATGTCTGACGTTTGACGCTCTTTTTTCCTAATCGCAAGTGAATGAACATTATCACGTAAATGCCTATTTTGGGCGAATGTTTGCTGTCTGCAGTGCACGAGCGACCCCGTGAGTGAATAGTTTTTATTCGCGCAGTTGTGATCGGAGGTGGAACAGGCTGATAAGTAAGTCAGTATTTTAATTAGCTCAAATATTTGAGGTTGTCACCACTCTATCTAAAGTAAATTTAATCGCGCCCTTTCTTATAAAGATAATGAGGATGAAAGCATGAGCCGTAATATTCAGAAGTACCATCTACGCCCATAGACCTGAGTACCTACTTTTCTTTTTTAAAAAAATAGCTTGCCGGGGAAAGGACCTTTTCGCAGATACTCAAGGTTATGACCAAATTTGGATTACCAGACTATGACGTGATTGAACTAGTTAATTTGCAGACGCCTAATCAGCCTAAATCTATCTGCATGTCAACCGTTTGAAGGTAACGACTTCAATACATTGACCAGAACATCATTCGAATATTCAGATTCTTTTTGATTTAACAAAAGTATTCTAAATAATATTATTGTTGTATTATTGTTAAGTACAGTTTTATTAAAAAATTAATTGTCTTTTCCTTTCTTTTGATCTGAGGCATTTAGCCCCGGGTAGTTCCCAAAACAAAGAAAGTATTTTTCGTTAACAAGGGATTCACAATAGTACACACAAAAGAACCTGTGCCAGTTGGAATTATATGTAGAATAGTGGAGAAACTCCGCTGTTCAGGCAAAGTTATCCTCATAGCGCAGGGCATGGTCGGCTATTTTAATAAATTTTTCGTACGGTTGGTGCATAAAAGTGGGGCGTCAAAAAGCATTTCATTTCATTTCTTTATTGTGGGAATTGTATTTTATGCATAATGCTTTCAGTTATTTTTAAACAACAACACAAAAAGCCTTTTGAAATATAAATAAAGGCATGTGACGAAGTATTTACACCACTCGCTTACAGTATAATCAGGAGAGGTGGTTCACTCACGGTATTGGCCGAGGAAGTACCTCGGGATTCCCCATGTCAGTTATGCAGGACGAAAGGCCTGGTAAGAACAGTGTCTAGTCGTTCGGATGGGACAAAAAACCGAGGTACCGTGTACACATTGGCGTGTACGTAAAAGAACACTGACAGTGGCGAATTCAAAATAAGAGTAGGCAGTGCGTAGCACTGCTGTCCGGGCAAAATATCGCATATAGCACACAGTTCGACGTATGTCCGCCTTCATTAGGCCAGTCGATGCAGAACAGTTGGACGTTGATCCTAATTTCATTTCATGTTAGTATATTCTTTCAATGACGATAACCTTTCGTATCGAGGCATTGATGATGATAAACGTGAAATTACACCAAAACGTGAATTGGGAGGATTACAAATTAAAATACTTCATTGAGCACGTCAACACATACTGAAATTCCTCAAAAAGCTTCTGTCAATGTACTCGGAAGTTCCTGTTTATGATAGACGTGATAAATCTTTACTTACATGTTGGTAGTTTTTTTGTTTTTTTTTTTTAAAAAAAAACCAAAAAAAAACATCTCACTGACGTCCACAGTATACATTTTACATGCCAGCATACATTTTACATGGCCTGTATTTATCACGGCTCACCAAGCCAGTCTCGCTGGACAAAACCCAAATCAAACGACACTGATTCTTAGTTCACTCTTATCCTTTGTTGGCACAGATACATTTTACATAGTTGCACATTTTGTAAGATCACCGTGTTGGTTTTATGAAATGACTACCTGATTTAAACAAACCGTGAATATCGAGTCAGAGTATCGCCCACATTTTTGTACAACTTGCATTCTTTTTTAAATGTCTGGAGATCGAAATATAAACGGAAGTAGATGGAAGGAATCTGATATGTGAACAAGGTAGGTTCTTTCAGGTAATCTGGTGGGTGTCTCCGTGATAGAAACTGCTACCAAAGATATACCTACCTGTTGTCTCCCTGGCAAACGAGTCTTTTATACATTACAAACAGCACCATCTCACACCAGGGACGGACTGTGGCCGTAGATAAAGCATTATTCACATTATTTTATAGCAATAGTTCTGACCAAACACCTCTCATATTATAACGTCCCAATCACCTGTCAACGAAAACGATCACGTTTTCGTACCATTATCATATATCCCAGGGGCGGATATAGGATTTATTATTTTTTTTTTTTACATTTTCTTACAATTTTCTCAGAGAAAATTTGATCATAAGGTCTGTTATTGAGTCAAGTGGCGTGGTTTCCATTTTTGATGTGCACGTGACAAGGTCGAGTAGGGTCGCCTGCCCAACTTGTGGGTTTTCTCCAGGTCTTCCGGTTTCCTTCCACTGCTAAAGACTCCTACGCGCAAGCGAATTATTAACATAAGTTGAACCATATGTTAATCCTGTAATGAACTAGTTTGTGTCGAGTGGGAGGCTCTCTCTCTCGCTTCCATTGTAGTAAATGGATATTCAAAAATATAAATAAATACCAAACCTCCCCTTAATATGTATCCGCGATCAACAACAATTTTGTTAATACAGTTGTGTGTTTACATAACAAAGGTGTTTACAAAATAAAGATTCAAGTTGGGGAGGTCACGTGGCAATAACAAACTTTTGTAATACAGTTGACGTTGTATTACACAGATCACCATGACCCTTTTTTATGCCCATTGATCTATTTATTATTCGAGATGTTTTCACCTGGATTTTAACATGCCATTCATATAATAAATATCAACGTACTGTTCCCTTTAGTATCAATATCAACAAGACTTGAGAATTTATTGTCGCGATGCAACCTACATTCAAGTAAATTCAGGCCATTTATCTCTATAAACGATGTGTTTGTCAAGACATTTTTTTATTTCTTTAAACATGGCAATGCAAAAACAAAACAACTTCAGCTAAGGATCAAAGGGATGAATTTAGCATTTCTATCTTCCACACAGTTTTACCACCTAAATATTAGGACACATTGACACTGTAGAAATTGTCTAGTAATAGAAGTTTGCAATCGCAATAAAACCATTTTATTCGCAACAGGATCTCCCCAAACTTATTATTTATCGTTCAAACGTACGTGTTACAAAAGGTAGTGGTCGTTCACCAATGTATATAATATAAATGGGAACGCGAATGTTCGTGATCTCAGGTTCTTAAGCTTGTCTCGAAATCAAATATGTCAATGCCAGACGGTCATGTCGTGTTGCAGTATTTAATGGTGTAACAATGCAATATCAACAAAAAAAAAATGCTTAAAATACAATTGGTTTGTCAGCAAGATTCAATAACTAAACAATAAGCTTTATAACTCTGTAACGCCCACTCTACACAGTTGACTCAATGACAAACCTTATGATACAGCGCGCACACGCTAACCATTCGGCCATCCACCCCCCACCCCACCCCATCCCCGAAAATAAATAGGGAACCTCGTCTTGCCATAATACAAGCTTCCTTAAAATTTCAAATGACAAATGTTTTTAGACAATAATTATAGATTTTGCCTACGTCACACCTGGAATAATTTATTTTATTTGCAGGTCAAAAATGATCACGATGAAAGTAGGAAGACAAAATGAAATGAAATGGGGTTTAACGTCCTACTTTTCTGCTGCGGCAGAGCTGATGAAGACGGGCATACACCATACAGTGACTACGACGGAAATTTTGCCCGGGCAGCGGCGCTACGGCCTACTCTTATATCGAATTCCAACTGCCAAGGGATCTTTTACGTGCACGTCAATGTCTTCACGGGACCTCGTTTTTCCGTGCTATCCGAACGACTAGACATCTGTTAGACACTCCGTCCTGCACCACTGACAAGGGGGAAACCACGCTGGAAAATCCCGATGAAATTTCTCGCCCAACACTGGGATCGAACCCGCGACCAGGAAGACAAAAACGACACATAGATTATAACTACATGACTTAAAATGTATTTCTAATTTACGTGGGCTGATTATAGGCTAACCTCCACGCTATTCAACTTTAACGAACATTTAAAGACGCCTGCTTCAATCTTTGACTATTAAGAAAATTTATATATTATTCAAAATTAATTACATTCATAATTTATGTGAGTATGATAACGTCCTGTCTTGTTCTGTTATAGACATAATTAGTTTGATAGTTGACATAATTAGTTTGATAGTTGGAAAATACAAGCGTTCAGCTCTTACCTTGCTGCTGTGAGAACGGCGAAGTCTGCACGATTAATACTAATCATCATGATACTGCAAGCAAATCATCACCTCACTTCGTGACAAGTGGATACGTTGATTACACTAGTTTGCCTATTTTGTCGCTGTGGACAAGTATGTCTAAACAAACAAACGGTGTTTGTTTTTCCCTTTTAATTCGCCAGGAGTTACATCTGACATGATCTTGGCAACTAATAATTAGATTTCGCACACTTTTTTCAATCGTCGTATGTCCCAATCTTTCTCTATTTAAAGATACACTCTCGCCATTAGTTGTTGTTTATCCACAATGGACGGGTGTCTTTTACACATAATAATTAATCAAATGTATTTTGCTTACGAAGCGATTGTGACTCAATCGAGACATGGCAAGCGGAATTTGTCCCACCCGTATCACGTATATCGTCACGATACGGATACGTTGCGTCAATATAGTTTTAGAGTTTTGACAGATTTTCGCGTCGCGTACGTATGAGTTCCTATTTTCACCATTGGGGCGCTCTTTTTCAATGATAAAAATCGTTGTTTTTATTCATTCTATACTTACATGGTGATGCACGGACTTTTTCGTTTTCTCTTATCTAGCGACAGTCAATTATTATTATTATTTTTTTTTATTTTTGAAGATTCGCCCATGTATCTGTTATCACTTGTCACTTCAGTCAGTTATATAGAAGGATAACTTGTGTTTTCCTTTTGCTTTCTTCACTTCCGTTTCTTGAAATCTTCATTAAGCATCTATCGTAGCAATGATCTCTGTGTAAAAATTATATTTGGAACGTGTTTAACCAGTTCTATCACATATTATGTGATAATGACAGACACCAATATTATCCTTTCACATGCAGGTAACAGAACCCTTGACAGTTCGATTTTGAATGGCCAATTTTTTCCTTAATATTACAGCCATATAGCTCAGTTAAAGGAGCTAAATCGCTAATATTTGGGAGCTAGAAATTGATACAAATGGGTAGCAAGGCATATAATAATGTAATGTGAATGTATATAAACCGATTTACATTCAATCGTTTTCGTTTTTACTATAATTTCAAATCAGTTATGTTCGGCGAAACACGCCAGAAGTGTCAATCGAAAGGATATCTCTAGCGTCTGGTTATTCCAGTCTACACCGATAGTATTTATTGCGAATGCTCTCCAGATAAGAATATGGCTTCACCGTTTGGCATGACTTGTGGAAAATGTCTAGCGTCGTTCTTCGAGTCCCGTATTACAAATGACGCTGAAGCGCATTATGGTACACGATTCGTGTACAAATGCTAAATTTGTTATTTTGTCTTAAATATTGGATATCAGAAGCCCATCTTTTCAAGATACGATAACAACACCAATGTTGATTTAAATTGACAAAAAAAATCTTGTTTTCGATGTTGAAGACTTTTGGTGATATTGAGTTAGAGACTTAGCTACTTTAAAGTATTCAATTAGGAACTCAACTATCGCCAATCAAATTCAAACATCCATAGCCTGTTTAATTTACATAAACCTTCCTTTCGTAAATCTGAGTGAGCCACGGTGACTCTGTAAGTAAGGTGCTTGCTCAGCAACCGGCCTGATATCCCTTTGTGGCAAGGGCTGTCTAGTCGTACGGGTGGGACGAAAAACCAAAGCCCCGTGTACACATTGGTGTGCTCGTAAAAAAAACCCTAAATACGGACCAAAAATACTCTTATCGAAAATCTTGTGGCATGTGGTACCAAACAGGAGGATAAGAGGGTCTGAGAAGAAATTTTTGAAAATATTGAATGTTTTTCTTTGTCCAATATGTTGTGGAACTCTTGTGGAGAGAGAGAGAGAGAGGGAGGAGAGAGAGAGAGGCAGTGGGGTTTAACGTCCACTCGATACAAACCAGGTGTGATTTCGGGACCTACATATGGTTTAACTTTATTTTAGCAGTTGGAGGAAACCGGATTACCCGGAGGAAACCAACGAGGTTGGACAGGCGACACTACTCCTTGTTTGGTACATCCGGGGAATAGAAACCACTCTTGTGGTGAAAGACACTATATATACCAAAAATCTCTTATCTGGTAGAATGCAGTACCTCATAAGGAGATAAGCGCGTCTGAGGAGATATTTTTGAAAAGTACAATATTGTGAGGAACTCTTGTGGTAAAAGAAAAACACCACAGACCAAAAACAGAGAGATAAGTGCCCTAAATGAAATATATTCACGTATTTTCTTAGTAGTGTAAATTTGCTCCTTGTTTAACACCATATTGGAAATATTCCCAATGTTCTTTCATGTTTTAAGTAGTTTTAAGGTTCCTCTCTGCGGCTCTCGGTTTCATGTCCCCTGTTCTCTCGAGCAAGTCGGTCAACAGCATCGTCGCATTGCCACACGGGACCCTAGTGGGAGGGATGAGACGTGCAATGTGGGCAATGTTTCGGCACAATTACTACGCTTGTTTCGTTTTACATACGGCTACTGCATTCCACGTTTTTTTCGTGTCGTCCATAGTTTTTCGTGTCATCCGAGGACTACAGACTTTTCTAACAAGACTCGCGCCATTAAAGTAGACGTTGCAAATTAGTTGTTTCTTCTACCCCCTCTATCTTAGAAACTCACCCAAATCCTCTTCCATCCGTTGTATTGCAACGCAATCAACACTGGGAATAAATTACTCTGGGATAATCATTTACTGCAAACTTCAATTATTATGTAAACCCCGTTGACAAGAAATCGTATACCTGTAGTTCTGTTCACTAAGCTAGCGAAAATTCAGCTAAGGCATAATTAAAATATATTCATTTTTTTTAAAACAATGATTGCACTTTCTGATCAATTATGTTCGTTGAAATATGTGAATTGTCCAAAATGAACAACAGTCGTTTATGCCTTCTTAGTCTATCCTATACCTTTGTCGTTTGTGGATCGGTTTCCGTATTGTTTTATAGGATATATTTTTCTTTGATCATTACAAATGGTGCCCGAAACTATAAGGTACGCGACTCGTATTTATTCTGATATTTATTGTGTCTTAAATCTTGGATATTGGGATCCTATATTTTCACTGCAAGCTAACCTCAATATTGATTGAAATGGATTAATATTGAATTCTAATTCGTGTTTTAAATTTTGGATTTTATGGAGAATATTGAGGTAGAGGTTTGGCTCCTTTAAAGTCAGTAATCTCATGCCTATCATCAATGTGCTCGTAGGCTCAGGTATGATCGAGTCACAGTTATTAGGGAGGTGGAATGAAATGAAATGAAATGGGGCTTAACGTCCTACTGTTCTGCTCCTAAACTGGGCTAATGAAGACGGGCATAC